ACACACACACACAGAGACACACACACACACAGACACACAGACAGAGTAAACAATGTTTTCAAACACACACTTTCCAGCAGTAATATTCCTGGATTTCTCGTAGATGTCGTCATATAACTGTACGTCAGTCAAATCTCCTCAGGACGACCCGCTGCTTTCTGGGATCACTGCAGGTTTGTGTGTGTGTGTGAGAGAGAGAGAGAGAGAGAGAGAGTAACAGTAATAAAGATGGAGGATTTCCTGTCAGGACCTGAACGTCCTTTTCTTCCATGTTTGTAGAACTGTGTAATGGCCTTTCTAAAAAATGGTTTGAACCTCACGGTCTGACATTAAAACACTTATCTACGTCTGAGTCAAGAAAATCTACTGCTGCCCAAAGTGACTCAACAGCGCCTACAACTGTTTAAAAACACAAATCTGCAAATCTTTGGTCGCCTTTTAACACATTTGTTTTTTTTTTATTTAGCGGTAGTGTAGAGACGTGACATATTTTTGCAGAATGCCGCGGCGATTTCACCTTCTCTGAATTAGAGGACTCTCAAACCCACGGGTGTCGTGGATGATGAGCCCAGTTTATGAGTTTTTAATTGAAAACACGGCGGTGTGGCTGCCGCCTCACTCCCTCCACTGATTCACTTCTCCAACTCTCAGCATCAGTCATTCTGCTGTCGTATCTCATTTCTCCACAGAACTCCTTCGCTGCCTCCAGGCAGGTCGGAGCAAAGGGCCAACGCTCCGAGGAATTAGGGGATTATAGGTAATTCTGTGGATTTCAGATGAGAAGACGAAAGCAGCTTCTCTCTGTGGGATGAAAACTAATCGAGACACAAACTCTTGTTTCTTCTCTGATGTATCAAACCTCCAGGAACTCAGAGCGTGACCTACGAGTAGGCCGTGATCCACAGTTTAGGAAACAGCACAAAAAAAAAAAAAAAAAAACTTTGCAAGATGCATTGGGAAATGGCTGAGAGTTCATTCAGGAAGTGGATAATGGAGAAAGTCACTCAGCGGCTGATTTAATCTGGACTCAGACTCCTCCAGCTTCAGCTGAGGATTCCATTCACTTTCATTTACTTTTCGGACTCTCTGGAGTACACAGGATGTTGACGATTATCCAGAGGAGGAGCGTGGAGGACCATGACCTTTAGATGATATGTTAACGTTAGCGCGATTGTTTTTAGGGTTATCAATTTTGATCTAAGCCCACACTTGTGTCTGTAGAGAGAGAGAGAACACACGCCTCCAAACGCCTGTTTAAATGATAGCACCAACACCGGCAGATCCCGTCAGAAACACCAACATCAACTTCGCTTCTTAATCCTCATTTAAAAGCAATTTACCTCCTCCTCCTCCTTTCCTCCTCCTTCAACTCCTCCTCGGGACTAAAAGGCTTAAAAAGCAGAAATCGATTCAGGATCACAGCATTTAAGAGGATTCAGCCTCTCAGTCTGTCACAAGGAGAGTGAAGCTAATCAACCTATCAGACACTAATCAATGCCAACAAATCAGGTGGTGAACCACAGCAGTTTAGCTCTGACTCACTCTGAGTCTTTAAACAAAAACGTGGAAGATTTAGAGACTTCGCAAGTGTCGGCATCGAAGTTTTGGAATTTAGAATTTGGGGGGAAACAAAGAGGAAAAAAACCTCCCTGAAGTCATATTTCTGGAATTTGGGGGAAACAAAGAGGGAAAAAAACCTCCCTGAAGTCATATTTCTGACACTGTCTTCTTTGATATTCTTACAAAAGTGTACATAATTCTATTAATTAAAGTGAAGGACCACAGGAAAGTCCCAGACTTTTGATGACCTTCAATTTGAACGTGTCAAGTTCTAACTCTTTACTAACTCTAACGTCTAGTGTGGGGACATTTTTAGCTCACTCAGGGATCAGACCTGGTGTTTTGGCCAGTTGGTCTCAAAGTTCATTTGGACTTTACTTTGATATTCCTGGCAGACTTTTGGTCAGTTTAATTGGTCACACAGCTCTAACCAGAACCAGGGTTCCTAAAGTCAGGGACTAGAACTCCCTCAGGGCTCGGCTTCAATATAAGGCTCACAGATGAGAAGGCTCCACTGCAACACAGTCGCAGCCTGTCTGTCAATGTGCAGAGCAGACTCTCGTCTGTTCCAGTTTTCGGGATCATTTCCTGTGGCTGGCACGTCAACAAATCACTGATCTGCTTCAGCAAACATTAGCTCCACCTCAGCCATGAATCCACAGCAGCTCCGCAACACAGACTGTTAATCAGCAAACAAATCAAAGCCTAACGGGTCAGCGTGAGGGTGACGAGTGGGTGGGAGAAGAGAGCGATGTCATCTGGAATTTCTTCCATAAACTTGTGCGTAGGAGGACGTCACTACGGCACTGCCGATGATTCCTAAACACAAACACGCAGGTGGACGGGCGGGAGGAAGAATCGCCTGCTCTGATTGGAAACGTTACTCATTATGGTGATGTAATGCGCACACACACACTTCCTCCTTTAGATCCCGGTCTCGTCAGCCCGGGTCCAATCAGGAGCCGGAGAATGTGCTTTCTATGCTAATGAGGTTTGAGGTCTCGGGGTCGCAGCAGATGAGAGAAGATGCTGGAAGAAATCTGCACTTCATGATGATAACGTACACCTGATCAGATCTGTGACCTCCTTCTCTGTCTCCTCCTCCACTTTGGCCTCCGTCACCTCCTCTTTCATGACTTCTTTCACTTTATTCTACACTGTCAATTCTTTGAATTAACATTAACATTTAAAATCTAATTTCTTTCTATTCGTTCACGGGTTCACAACACTAACGACTCAAACCTGGACCTGGTTTTTGAACTTCTTTTGATCTCTGACTTTTCTTCTTCTTTTCTTGACTTCTTTGATCATTTGGACTCGACCAGGTCTTAAACTGACCCTATTTTGGCTAATAATGACTAATACTTTATTACTTATAACAACCAAGACTGAATTCACCTGAACTGTGTGGACCTGATCCAACATTTCATTTTTCTCTGAGGTTTTAAATCTGACTTTGTTGTTGAATAAACACAACTAGTTGATTCAGACATTCACCATCAACCATTCTGACATTTTCTTTGAGAGAATAAACACAACTAGTTGATTCAGACTTCATCAACCATTCTGACATTTTCTTTGAGACTAACACATTTTACACTCTCACATTTTATTCATTCTGAACACCAAGAATAAAATTGGACAGTCCATTTTGAGTTCTCTCTGTTTTTAAATCCAGACTGGAAGAATAAAAACTCAATTTTCTAATCCCTCAGATCTGGAGTCCATCACACTGTAGTCAACAACGACGTTGCACTTCAGGTAATTCTGGGACAGTATTGATTTGAACAAAAACAAACTTCTCTTTCCTTTCCTCTTCCTCCCTCTCTTCATCTTTTTTTTTTAATGTTTAATGTTGTGAATTCATCCTTGGCTGTTTTGTTTTCCGTCTTCCTCCTCCCTGTCGACTTCCACATCCCCCCTGATACATCACTCTCTCCCTGCATCTCACTTTTCCTTCCTCTTCCTCATCTGTCTCCATTGCTCCTAATTATATTTGCTATGAATATATTTATGACTGCATTATTACTGGAGAACAGCAGCAGCAGCAGCAGCAGCAGTAACAACAGCAGCAGCAGCAGCAGTAACAGCAGCAGCAGCAGCAGCAGCAGCAGTAACAACAGCAGCAGCAGCAGCAGTAACAGCAGCAGCAGCAGCAGCAGCAGCAGCATCAACAGCAGCAGCAGCAGTAACAGCAGCAGCAGCTACACTAGCGTGTGGATTTAAGCTCGTGATAAAGTGCGATGACTACACAGGTCGTCCCGACACAAAACACTGCACATAATTAGAGGAAGAGTTACTGCCGAGTTACTGAACACAAGAAAAGGGGTTTTAATCACAGCTAACACATGGATAAAAAACACGTGACGCAGATAAATTAGCCTAAAGTGGATGAAAAAAAAAAACAATGTCTGATGGAAAACCTCCTCCTAGACTTTTGGGTAAAAATACTGACAAAAATATCTGAAAAAAATGAAGCTCGGGTTTTTCTGAGTTTGAAAATAATAAAAAAAACAACTAGGAAATAAATCCAGTTCAGTTATTAAAAGGCAACTGGAAGGATTGTGAACTGTAGAAAGTAAAGATTTTTGATCACGTTAAAATGGCTCCAAGATTGAGAGCAGAGTCACTCTCTTATATGAAGAGATGTCGTAAAAGCCAAAAAAAAAACCCTTTAACTTCTTTTTTCCCCACTTGATTTGGAATCACTTTCTCATACTGTTCAGTTCATTTCCTGCCTCTTCGGTGGTTCACCTCTATCACTCGCTCTCCCACCACTTTCAATTACACATTTTTCCTATTTGATCCATCAGCCTCTCCCGTCTCCCCCTCCTCCCCCTTTCATCGCTCATTTAAATCTCCCACCTCTGCTCTTTCCTCTCACTTACATTTCTTTAAACCCTCATCTTCTTTTCCTTCTCTTTCTCTCTTGTTCCATCATCTTCATCCATTTCCTCCTCCTCACCTCGGCTCCGTCTCTAATCCCCTCATTTTCAATCTCTTCAGTTCCTCCTGCACCTCCCAATCACTCTTCCCCCCTCCCCCTCTTTCCCC